GGAACTGGGGATCGAACTCAGGCCCTTGTACTTGCTAGAGAAGCACTTATTCCACTGAGCCATCTCCCCAGCCCCTTGAAAGATGATTTTGACATGAATTCATCCTGGTCATTCTGACCTCAGCCTTCTTCAGAGTTCTGGTCTTAGAAGATCAGCCAGAGGGACATGGCAGGGGATCTTTTCCTCCTGTGGGTGAAGCAACACAGAAGCCCTTTGTGGAAGCCAGGTGTCATGCTTCACCACCCACCCTTGGCATGGGAGAGCTGGTAATTATGGAACCGAGAGTTTAGTAAAGTTGCAATTTCCCTGTAATTAAGAAGTTATAGACACCACTCTCTGGGAACTCTGCTCTCCTTGCTACTGCTTCAGAGAGGAGGTCCTGGCTTAGGGAAGGGAGCAAGGCTGGTGGAGGAGAAATGCCCCCTGGCCATGGACTACTTCCAGGAGGAATTCAAGCCCTGGGATAGACGGTTGGAGGATCAGATCTCAAGAGGGGGTGGTTTTAGAGAGCTTAATATTTTGCTCAATTTTAGAGTTGACAGGCTCTGGGGAACATTTGTCTGCCTTTCACCCACCCACAAGTATTTACTCTAAGCCTTATCACGTAGTAGATGATGCAAGCCCTGGTCCATCACTGGGCTCAGTCTAAGCTGGGAACAGAGGCAGTGGTCTTTTGTTGGCTTCTTTCTAGCTGGGAAACACAAGTTCAGAAAGACCAAAGCTCTTCTTCAAAGGCACACAGAAAATATTAGTGGAAAGCCAGTGTTTTGTAGCCCTGGCCTCTGGCTGGCCAGCCTTTCTCTTGTCCACTCTCCTCAGGTATGAAGATGAAGTGGCCCTCAGGGCCACAGCTGAGAACGAGTTTGTGCTGCTAAAAAAGGTGAGTGACTCCTGTTGCACAGGGAAGAATGAAATCTTGCATGCTAGAAACTGACTGTGGGTGTCCTGCCATATTCTTATGAACCGAGTTGGTGGCAAAGAGCTAAACCCCCTGGCAGGTGACAGCGGGTTGGTTTGGCTGCAGAAGCCATCTCAGCCACCATGTAGCTACCCAAACTGTGTTGACGAGTGTTCTGGAGAAAAGAATGTCCTGCTGCAGTGCTGTCGGGCATCTTCTATGTAACTAGGCTCGCGGATGTGTACACTATGAGGCCCGCTGTGCTCTGGCCTGGACACAGCTCCTCCCACCATCCTAGGGTCTGGCTGATGGTTCTTAGCTTGCTGAAATTTGTGAGCCTGTGTCAATTTGGTAGTGATCGCTGTCATTTAGTGGTGTTAGAGAGGAGGAAAACACCAGAGGGATAAAAGCCGCTTGTGGAATTTTCTTTTATTTCGAAGTGATGAGTAAAAGGCTATGTATGTGTTCGTTAGCAAGTAGCCTGCGTTCCAACCTCCGTGATGTAAGTACTGGTGAACTGAGAGAGAGCTTGTGTGCCAGGACAGGTCTGACCTGGGTCTCGCGCAGAAGTGTCTCGTGCTCTTGTGCTGGGACAGCTTGGCTGAGATGAAGCAGCCTGACATCCTGAGTCGTGATACCAGGCTCAGCGGGATCCTCAGTACTGAGCGGGGTGAATGCCTCCCCACTTTCCTTCCCTTCGCAGCCAGTTCTACTGCCTGCTGTTCACACCACAAGAGGGAATGTGAGGAGCAAATAGCAATGCGGGCCCTGGTGGGGAAGAGGAAAAATGGAGGTTACACCTGTGAGCGCAGGTAGAAGGATGGGGCAGGCCAGAGGGAGAGAGATGGCCAGAAGATGACCTCACGGTTACTGCAAAGTGCCGAGGCTCAGGGCACAGGGACAAGGAGTGTGCCCATTCCCTACCCTCTCTGTCTGTCTCTGCTAGGACATAGACAGTGCTTATCTGCGTAAGTCAGACCTCGAATCCAATGTGGACCTGCTGACCAGGGAGATCACTTTCCTGCAGTCCCTCTATGAGGAGGTAGGAGGGGGGTGCTATGGGGAAGGTGTCCTTGAGCTGTGGGGTTCTCTGGAAAGTTGGCATCGCTTACCTCTTAGGGCCTGAACATCTTTCCTTCTGTAACCAGAGGATATTCTTCTCTGGATTCAGACTTCTTTTCCAAATGGAAGCAGGTGAGGCCCTTCTTTCAAGATGATTAGAAAGACTGTGGCCCATCCCTTGTTCACGAAGATTTGACAACTCATGTATGCACTTGGGTAGTGTAAAAGCTCAAGTAGGAACCCCAGGAGCTTAACTCTGGGTGTTCTCTGGTGGATTACATTGGTACAGATGGCTTCTCCCAATCTGGTGGTTCAGGCCCCGAGGTGGGGTGATCCCGCTGATCTGTGTACATCTAAATCTCTTTAGATGCTGACCCAGGCACTAGCTGAGTTCTTTCTCATGTACTGCATAGGCTCATACCCCAAATTCCAACCTTTTCCTTTAAAAGTTACATTTTCGCAATTTCCCAATTCCTGGTCATTTTCTAATTTCTTTTCTAAGGTTTCTGAGTTGGGGCTGTTTTGGGGATTGCCTGGGATCTGGGAGCTGGTTTTATTGCTGAGGGCTGTGTGCTGTTTCCTACAGGAAATCTCCATCCTGCAGTCACAAATCTCAGAAACCTCAGTGGTGGTGAAGATGGACAACAGCCGGGAGCTCAACATGGACATGGTTGTGGCCGAGATCAAGGCTCAGTATGATGATATTGCCAGTCGCAGCCGGGCTGAGGCTGAGAGCTGGTACCAGACCAAGGTGAATGGGAGGGCGGCGCTCCCTTCTGAACAACCAGGCGGCTGTACACCTGGATGGCTGTACCCTTGGGACAGGTGCTCGTGCAGCCCAGAGGGGCTGAGGCTGAGGTCCTGGCAAGAGCAGGGCAAGGACATGTCTGTTGTCTCCCAAACCGCAGTGCCAGGAGATGAAGGCTACGGTGACTCAGCAGGGCGAGAACCTCCGCAGAAGCAAGGAAGAGGTCAGCGAGCTGAACCGCATGATCCAGAGGCTGACGGCTGAGGTGGAGAACTCTAAGCAACAGGTCAGGTACCCTAGAACTCTATGGGGTCCCGTGCTTCTCATCTGATTCTGCCATGCTCCTGTCTTTAGGGGCTGCTCTTATCTTTTGGGTGGCTTTTACTTTTGCTGTGCCAGAGAATTTGTCATTTGTGTTCTTCCTGCATTTGCTATTATCAGATTTTTCCAGTTCTTGTAAATCTGGTGGATGTAAAACTGGAATCTAATTGTTAACTTTTCATTCTTCTGATTAACACAGTGATATGGAACCTCACCTCATACGCACACCAGTTATCTGTGTCTCTCTTTCTAAGAATTGGCTGTTCACATCACCTGCCCATTTTCTAGTGGAATTTCTTTCTGTTGTTGTTTTGGTGGCAGATTGAACTGGCTCTTGTACTGAGTTACATCCCAGATCTTTTTACATTTCTAACAATTTTGAGACAGGATCTCACTAAGCTGTCACGGTACCCAGGCTGGACTCAAACTTGCCATCCCCCTGCCTCCCAGAGCGATGGGGTTATAGGCATGAGCTGCGGTACTGGGTTTCACCTTTTCTTCTTGGTGACTTGCAGCACTGCCTCTTGCATCCCATCTAGATTGTAGCCTTTGTCAGTCATACATTGCAGCTAACTAATCTCTTAATTTGTTGTTTGTCGGTTTAAAATCTTAAACCTAACATGACCAAGTCTCTTGAGTCTTCCCTTAAGGCTTTATGGTTAGAAAGTCTTGAGATATTAGATCTCCTCTAATATTTTTGTGATCTACTGAATTCATAGTTTTACCTCTTTACTCCATTTGACTTTATTTTTTTATATATAGTGAAGAGGGTTCCAATTTAATTTTTCTGTGTAGACTAAGAAACTGGATTATGTAATCTGTTTCCCCTGCTGATTTGTGGTACCGCCTCTAGCATAGTGCTGAGGTCACACACACACCTAGCTTATCGTCCGTCCCCTCCCCCCTTTTTTTTGTCTTTTTTAGTCGAGGTTTATTTTTGGTTTTGGTGCCGAGGACCAAACCCAGGGCTTCCAGCTTGCTTAGGCAAGTGTTCTACTGCTAAGCTAAATCCTTGGCCCCTCCATCCTCTCTCTTCTGTGTGGCTATTGAATGCAAGGTAACTTGTTGCTGCTAACAGCTGGATTCATGAAACACGGGAATGGGTTCCTTTATGGGAGTGCAGTTAGAGGAGATCTGAAGTGTGGCCTAATCCTGGCCGTCGCTCATGTGCTTTCCACTGTGCTGGCTAGTGGGGGCAGCTCAGAGCCAGTGTGCTGGGAGGTTGTCTGTCAGTGTGCTGAGCTCAGTGGCTGAAGAATGAAGTGTGTGTTCCTGTGCACGTGCGCGTGCGCGTGTGTGTGCGTGTAGGTCTTAGAAAACCTGGGATGTCACTACATACTTGGGAAGCCTAGGACAAGTTGCTTCTTCTCTGAGTCTCAGTTTCTGCATCTGTTTAGTGGAGATAATAATGCCTGTTCTGACAAGCCTGCAAAGTAACTTTGAAGGTCAAATAAGATAATATTTGTGAAAGTGCCTTGTAAACTAACCCAGATATATGGCAATAACACTAATTACTGTTTGTGCTATTCTGATGTTAGCATTTCCTCCGTCTAATGGCTCACTTATAAAACTCAAGTGATTTTTACAATGAACTGGTATAAAAATGAAAGAAAAAAATCTTCAAATGAACTACTGCTTCCCCATCTAGTTTGTTTTTCACAGATGCATTTCATTTAAAAAGCATCAAGTTAAAAAATTGATCATTTTGTTTTTTATTTTTAAATCTTTTATTTATTTAGTACAGTCTTGCTATGCAGCTCCGACTTGTAGTGATCCTCCCATCTCGGCCTCCCCAGCTCTGGGATTACAGTAACGTACCACCACGCCCGGTTTCAGGGTCAACACGTGTGTGCCTGGGCTTCTTCTGTTAAGTGGAGGCAAATTGATGGTTAAGACCATTAGAAACCCACCAGCCACCTTCTCAGGCCAAACCCTTTCCAAATTCCTTCCCTCCTCTTTTCTCCTACAGCGCTGTAGGCTGGAGGCTTCCATAGCTGATGCAGAACAGCAGGGTGAGGCGGCCCTAAATGATGCCCGCTGCAAGCTGGCAGGGCTGGAGGAGGCCCTGCAGAAGGCCAAACAGGACATGGCCTGCCTGCTCAAGGAGTACCAGGAGGTGATGAACTCCAAGCTGGGCCTGGACGTGGAGATTGCCACTTACCGCAAACTGCTGGAGGGCGAAGAAAGCAGGTGAGGATGGGGCTCTGTGATCCCTTTATATCCCCACTCAGGACTGGAATGGTCTCACTGAAATATAATCCTCCAGGCAGAGAATGTTCAAACTGGGATCAGTTCAAACTGATCGTGGGATTCAGCCATCCCATTTTATAGACAAGAAGCTGAGTCCACACAAGGGAATGTGTTTGCTCAATGTCTGAGCCAATTGGTGGGGAGCTAAAAAAGACATCAGTCTGAGGCAAAAGCAGAGGAACTGGGCTCTGATGTCTTCTTGTCTCCTCCCCCCTGCAGGCTGTGTGAAGGCGTGGGCTCAGTCAACATCTGTAAGTTGAGCATGTACTGGCATGGCTCTCTTGGGTGTCACCTTGGGTCTGAACATGAGGTTGCATCCAACTAGGGACCAAACCTCTGTCTATGGGCACTGGGTGAAGTTGACCAGAGTCGAAGGTGCTAAGAAATGAACAAATTGGTGACCCACAATACTTGATCCCTGTGTAGATCCATCTGGATTATCCTTGAAATCTGAGAAAATTAATGTGGCAAATTCTGGCACCCTAACTGGTTCTGCAAAACAGGCTGAGACTTTCTGTACATACAGAATACTCCTGTAAGCTGGCAGGGCTGGAGGAGGAACTCCTCACATGACCCCATGTTTTAATAAATACTAAATTTATATTCTGATCACTTGGGGCCATTCATCAGCTAGAAATCCCTGATCTTTAGAATTCTACTGTGTACACAGCCTCTAGGGCAGGTGTCTGCTTCTGACAATCCATTTCCCTCAGCTTCCCAGGAGCTCTATTTATAGATTATTCCTTTAGTAAAATCTACCAAATTTTGCCCAAATATTGCATGAACACATCTCAACACTAGCGTAGGCCAGGCAGAGTGAAGTGTTCAATTTGCTAACCACTTGAAGAAGCAGATGACAATGGGTTTAGATTTGTCTCTAGTTTTGCAAGTCTCACATTGCTGGTCCCTCAAACTATGAAAAGAATGAGTCATTTTATGAGAAGACCCTGGGTCATGCCATGTCCAGGGTGGGAGAAACTTCTGACCTGATGTCTCTTTCTGCAGGTGTGAGCCGTTCTCAGGGTGGTGTGATCAGCGGGGATCTTGGTTCCGGTGTCTCATGGAGCATGGGGGGTGTGGCCAGCAACAGTGTCCTGTGTTCCCCCTCTGTCATGGGACCCTGCTCCAGTGCAAGGTCTGTGAGGTTTACATAGATGGGCAGGACTCTGGACCTCATGGATTTGCTGGGGGCTGTGGAAAGGTAGAGGGGGAAAGCTTTGCTCTGTGGCTCAAAAGCCAGTTTATTCATTTGTCTTAGATGCAGCTCTCCAGTTTCCTTCTTAGTGGAGCTATGCTTTATTCTTTGAATGTAAATCCTGGGTTTGGCAGGGAGCTGGGTAGAGGGATGTGCAGTGTGGGGGAGCATCTTTGGGCCTTGCTCTTGGATAGGAGGAGCTGTGGATGCTGCCTCAGCCTTGAGGGGACAGCACAGGCAGTGGGGCTGAGGGAAGCGCTTCGCTTGATCTGAGAGACTGGAAATTCCTGGAGTCCCCAAACTATTGTATATGACAGAATGAAAAGATTGACTGAGGCTAATCAGATGAGTCCTTTCTATTGGCTGCTTGAGATTGTACAGAATTCTCAAGATTCCCATGGAGCTCTCCTCCTTTCTCTTGGTGTACTTGATTAAATGTTGATGGCAAAAGGTTTCTTCTACTGAGTTCCTTCATTACTTTCCTCACTCCAGGCCATTTTCCTGGTGAAGTCTACATCTAGCGTTTTCCTGAACTGACAGTCTTGGGAACTTCCACCCAGAAGAGCTTCCCTGGAGTCTCCCTTGGTGCTGGGTGTCCCCGGCTGTGATGAGATGGAGGGTGGGGTTTTGGGAGGACGGTTGTCTTTCCCTTCTTGGTTCAGAAGAATGCTACTTCTCCCACTTTATTTTATTTGAAACATTTTAGAGAGTAAATCTTATCAGAGCCCTGCTTGTTTTGGTGCTTGTCAGAGTGTGGCCCAAGGATCCCTCGGGCTACTTGTCAAATGTCCAGATCCCAGGCTCCACCTAGAACATGAATCAGCAGCCCTAGGGATAAACCCAGGAACCTACATTTTAGCAAACTTCTGGGAGATTGCTGTGCAATCCAGGGTGAGGCCACTGGTTCCAGTGGGCAGAGGGCAGAGGAGGGTCAAAAAATTTTAGAAATGGCAGTGACTTTCCCTCTAATTCTCACAGGATCAAGTTAGTAAGCCTTTGGCATCCTTCTTTTAATTCTTCTGAAAGGCCAAAGTCATAGCCTGATCCTCACACATACCAGCATGGGGCCCAGCAAAGGCCAAAAAGAGAAGGAGAAGGGAACTCGCATTCATTAAACACCTGCTAAGTGTTCAGCACACAATGTACACATTTCATTCATTTTTGACAACAATAGCATTATTACTGCTTTTTACAGGAAAGAAAAGAAGTGGTTTTACAGGCTGAGAGAAATGATTTTACTGAGATCAGAACGCTGTCTAGAACTCAAACTCAGATCCAGGTTTACATGCCTTTACCCTACAATCCCTGATTGCTCCTTTGAGCTCAGTACTCTAGCTCCCCATATGCTGCCGGATGAGGGGTTCTACCTGGTTCTACTTTACTAGTTGTCAACATTTCAGAAATACATGGCACAAGGTGATAGAGAGACTTTCTGGGAACATGTATGGAAATATAACACATGCTCTCCAGGAACCATGGACAGATTGTACACTAAGGTGGTTATATAAACATAGTATGAGAAGACAGTCCTCTTCTGTAAGGACCCAGACTTGAAACTCAGACTTCTGATTGGAGGCCATTTTCCTGGTGAAGTCTACATCTAGCCCTTTCCTGAACTGACAGGCTTGGGAACTTCCACCCAGAAGAGCCTCCCTGGAGTCTCCCTTGGTGCTGGGTGTCCCTGGCTGTGATGAGATGGAGGGTGGGGTTTTGGGAGGACGGTTGTCTTTCCCTTCTTGGTTCAGAAGAATGCTACTTCTCCCACCTTATTTTATTTAGAACATTTTAGAAAGTAAATCTTATAAATGACCTGGCTGAGTATAAGATAATTTTTCCATAGGAATATATATTTGATTTCAAGACAAAGAAGCTGTGGAATAGTTCTCCCTGGCAAAATGCAGTCCTCTGACACCTTCAGATTGTGTCCCCAGGGGCCTTACTGGTCAGGATATTTGTTATAGGGAAGCTTATATTTACCCCTGAAGATTCACATTGACTCTTCTCAGATAAACTGACAACACAGATTAACATAACAGGAGAAAAAGCATAAAGTTTATTGGTGTGCAAATGCACATGGGAGCCACACACAAGGTATGATACCCAAAGAAATGACCAGTTGCTAAGTAGCGTTTTGGGCTACAGAAAGACAGAGGGAATTGAAGTTTCTGGAGGGAGGTGGAATCAAGTTACAGGGGTGAGGGGTGAAGGGAGGAGATGCACTCCCAACAGATTGCCTCACTATGCTGGTAAAGCTTCTAGGTAATCTTTCAGAAGAATAATGAAAAGCCTGATTGGGTGTTAGTGGCTTAAAGATTTTTTCCTTCTCTGGACATTAATATTTCCTAATTATTTAATGAGATTCCTAGGGAAGGACGGTGTAAAATAATTCCATTTCTTTTTTTCTGGTACCAGGGATTGGACTCAGGACTCTACGCTTGCCAGGCAGGTGCTTATTCTACTGAGCTATCTCCCTAGGCCCTAAAATAATAACATTTCTTTTTTTTTTTGGTCAAAATTTTATTGATAAACAGATAGCAATGAGACAGTTTCAAATCAAATCGGAAGTACAGATTCAACAAATAACACACTGCATGTATTCTTCTTAGTGGTTAATTGCTGCACAAGATGCGGACTTGAGATCCTATTTACAAACACCATTAGAACAAATCATTCTATTCATTAAGAGAATGTAACTATATATCTATCCTAACCACTTTGAATACACAGATACAAAATGGACATTCATCTGTATGCCCCATTTTTTCCTAAAATAATAACATTTCTTCTACTTTTCATCCTCGTCCTTGTCTTCCTCCTTGTCCTCGTCCTTGTCCTCCCCCTCGTCCTAGTCCTTGTCCTCATCCTCTTTGTCCTCCTCCTCCTCTTCCTCCTTCTTCTTCAAAATTTCTTCAGCCAGATAAAGGATTCAAGGAAGACCAAAACTCAGATGGGGTGGAGACGAAGGTCAGAGACATTGACTCTGAGACTTTTTCCAGCCAGCGTGTCAAAGTGTCACCTTTGTACTCTAGCACAATGCCCTGACCAGAAAAACTAAGTACATATTTCTTAGCGGTGCAGTGCTCTTTTCCTCTTCTGCCTACCACACAAAGAGGCTCTCAGAGGGGCCTACATCCTGGATATACCATGGTCTGAATCCCACCAACTTTGAGCATAGGTAAAATCAGGTTAAAAGCACCCCAGAGTAACTTTTCTGGAGAGAGAAAGGAGTCCCATAAACACTTGCTGCTCTGAAGTTGGGGAATATGAACTGGGGAGAGTCTGTGTTTCTTTTTTGATGATGGTGATGATGATGGTGGTGTTGGTGTTGGTGGTGATGATGGTGATAGTGATGGTGGTGATGGTGATTTTGGTAGTGCTGTTTTTGTTGGTGGTGTTACTAGTGATGGTGTTGTTGGGAATGATGATGATTTTGATAGTGATGGTGGTAATGGTGATTTTAGTGGTAATGTTGGTGGTCGTGGTGTTAGTGGTGGTGGTGGTGATGGTGGTGCTGATGGTGGTGATCATGGAGATTTTGGTGGTGATGTTGACGTTGATGGTAATGTTGGTGATTTTGCTGGTGATGGCAATGATGGTTTTAGTGGTGATGGCGGTGGTGGTGTTAGTGGTGTTGATGATGGAGATTATGGTGATTTTGATGGCAATGGTGGTGATGGTGATTTTGGTGGTGATGTTGGTGGCAGTGATGGTAGTGATGGCAGTGGCAATTGTGCTTGTCGTGGCAGTTGTGATGGTGGTGGTGGTGATCGGTAGATTTACCAATTTGTGCTTTTGATGTCTTCTTAAGTTTTCAATGCCTAAGTGGACCCTCTGTGTGTTGCCCCTACTGTGCTCCATGCCCTGGGTGTGAAGCTTTCACCATCCCTGCTCAGATGCATCAAAGGAATCATGCTGGGTCCCTTGGTTTAGTTGGAGGCAGAGAAGCTGCATGGAGCAATGTTAACTAGCATTTTCCCCTCTGCTATTTCTTCTAGGTAAATCCCCACACCCAAGGAGAGCAGAACTCAGATCCTAGTTGCTCTAGTGTTCAATAAAAAAGACACTTGGTACAGCTGACCTATAACATTCCTATTCCCAGAGAGAAGCAGTGGTGTCAATAAGCTAGATAAATTCCCAGACAGTTATTTCCATGTCTGTGTGAAATCCACTTTCTAGTTTTCCTAATGATTAGTGAATTTATGTCTCTTACTATGTTTGGCTCAGGAGAGTAATTACACAAAGCTATATTTCCTGAGATTCCAGAGATGGAAGTGGGAAACAGTCAGAGATACTGGGCCCAGAAGAAAGAAATGTTTTGGGAATGTGTGTGAGGAGGACTGAAACAGGGGCTTGGTGGAGCAGTGCTACTGGCTTGGACGGGAAAAGAGAAACCAGCCAAGCCCAAGCTTACCTATTGTTTAGGGAGGACTAAACTGCACACTTCTGTTATTTTTCAGTACTAGGGATTGAAACAGGACCTTTTTCCTGAGCCATGTTCACACCCTTCTTTATTGGAAGACAGGGCCTCACTAACTCTCTTGCATAGGCTGGGCTTGAACTTTGGAACTATTGATCCCCATGCCTCAGCCTCCTAGAATTTGAGATTCTAGGTATGCAGCACTGCACCTAGCTCATACTTTTGAATCTTCTGGAAAAAGTTTTGGGAAGACATCAGTTATTTAAATGAGAATTAACTAGAAAGGTCTGATTTCTCTATTTCTCTGATGAAGATGTTAGGTTGTTTTGTGATGTTTCACAGGAGAGAGCCTAGGAAAGAGGTTGGCACTCCCACACTCTTTTTGGTTTGGGCCATTCGGTCCTCTGACTCCCTTGATCTTTCAATTTCAGATCACCTGACTTTGTTAACATTGTCTTTCTCCTAAAACTTCCACCCTTAGTTACTTGGATTGTCCTTGTTGCCTTTTTCAGGGGACAGAGCTTTTATCAGGAGAGGGCTAAGGGAGCCTCCAACTGCTTTAACCAGAAGAGATGACTTTGGATTGTTTCTGTTGGTTGTAAAGTGGGAGCTGGGAGAGGTACCTGTACTTGGAAGCCAAAGGAGCCCCTGGCTGGCCAAATTGGTTGATGATCATTGTACACTAAAGACAGACATGTATTAAAAAGCTTATTGATATCTTCCAGATCTTGGTATCTTATTTTCTCAGTACAGATTTGGTATTTTAGTTTTCTTGGCCCTGTTCTACAGTGACATCAAGTTCTTTTCCCCCACCACAACTCATTCCAGCCCATATCTTGTCTAAGATCTCACCGAAGACCCAGAAGCCTTGTAAGAATTGGGCTCAAATCTCCATACTTTGACCTTTTAGCCCCTGATATTTAGACTTTTCTGTGGATGAATGATGTATCCAAGGTTGAATGTTGATCTATTGTGATGCTATGCAGGTCCTCTGGGCCCTCAGAGCCAGGAAAGAGAAGGGGTAGGTTGGAGACTCAGAGGAGGCCTGGCTGCTATGACCTGCAAACCTCAAGTGGAGGAGTACCCTGAGCACTTGTAAGAAGCCAATATTCTCTAGAGGGGTCATAATCTTTTAAGCCTGAAATGAGCTTGCAGTCCTATGCATAGGGTTTTAACTTCTCTGGGAAAGAGGCTGGGTGATAGGGAGGGAGTTAGAACAGCATACAGGTTAGTGGACAGATGTTGCCTGACAATAATCACATCACATTTTTTCCCCTAGTGGAGAAATGGAACTGAGTCCATGAGGGCTGGATTTCTATAGCTCCTTTTCTAGCTGCCTCAGTCAATATGATGCATCCCAGGCCCATCATGTCTTTGGGTTTCTTCCTGGGACCTAGTGGAGGCTCAAAGCCAGAAGGAGAAATTTTCTGCCTTCCAGAAACCTCAGCTTGATCCCGACTCCATACATATCCACTTCCACTTACATCCCTGGCTCAGAGGCACAGAGTAGGACCTCAGGATCCTAGGGCTGTATGTGCATTCCTGCGTGTGTGCATATGTGTGTGTGCATGTGCGTGCGCATGTGCACGCGCGTGTGTGTATGAGTGTTGTTAGGTAGGGAGAGCAAAGAAGTCTTGATCAAAGGCCAGTGAGATGAGGAGCATGAATGGGCTCATGTGTCCCTATAGGCTGGGAGGGAGAGAGTAGTTCTGGGAGCCTCAGGGGGTAAACTTGTCCCTTTAGATGGAGTCCAAGTCTGGGAAGGCCCTTGTTGGGCGGAGGGGTTGGACAGACTGATGAATAGGTGCAGAAGAAGGGGTGGATAAAGCTGGCTCTGCCATAAGATGCCTACATTCGTGCTGGAAAGTGACTTGAGCCTGGAGGTAGTGCAAGACAGTGTGCATTTGGAGCAGAGTTCTGGCTGCTGAGCTGTGAAGGCCAAGGAGAAGGACTTAAGGGGGTCTGGGGCTGTGGTCAAGACCCACATGTACCAAGGATCAAGTGGAATCAGGCTAAAGAATGAGACAGGAAGAGGTGGAGTTACTAGGGAAGCACTGGGCGGGGCTGCACCAGCGCTGGTGAGCTGCTGCTGGGAAAGAAGGGAGCAGAGGCGCTGGAGCTCACAAGACCACGCATCTTTGCATCGCAGCAGCATTTATTGAAACACAGATTGGAACAACCCAGAAGGCAAGGCACCCACAGACATAACCAGAGGGGGACCCAGGAAACAGTCTAAGGTTCTCCACCCCACCCCTACACTGGACAGTCCCCTCCTGCACCTGGCAGAGGGACATCTGGAACAACCACAAGGTCTTTGAAATGTATAAAGGTGCACCGAGTAGCAAGACTCATCCAAAGTCCCCCAGCCAGCAGGCTACAGGTGAAAGGATTCTCACAACAATGAGCCTCTCCACTGCAGGTCACACAAGAGGTCTGGCTGGAGCAGGGTCACCCAGAGGAAGGCAGGCAGCCAGAGAGACAAGCAAACACAACCAAGAATAATCTGGCAGTGCTGCCCATCTGCTGGGGCTGGGGGACACTGCTCTGATTCTTAGGTTGTGGGAGCCCTGGCTGGGTGGTTAGGGTCATGCCTTGACTCAGGGGAGGCCAAGCTTCCACATTGCCAGCCACTCGGGATGACTGACAGCATCCTAGAGAGCCTGGTGAGTAACACATACTGGCCACAAGGGTCTGGAGGCAAAGTTGGAGTTAAGTGAAGGGCTGGGAGTGACCCTCTAACTGAAGTGGGGAGAACTAGGGAGCAGCTCCCTAAGACGAGAAGGTGGAGGACAGCGAACCAAGGGTCTTTCCCTCTGTAGGAACATCTGGAAGATTCTGGAAGCAAGCACACATTTTCCACACACACACACCACTCAGTGCGGGGCAGGGAGAGGTGGGGCAGAGGCCCCCACGCTACGCAAAGCGCACTGACCGACTGCTCCCGCAGCTGAAGGTGGAGGTGCGGGGCTGGCAGGGACCACAGGAATCGGGGGCCATCACCGTGATGCTTCCCCCTGTGGCAGAGGGGCCAGAGGCAATCTGGCGACCAGGAGTGGTGCCGAACGTGAGGCCCCCACAGGTGACTCCACCGCGGGAGCTGCTGACGCCTGTGAAAAAGGAAGACACTCGAGGTAAGGAGCTGGCTGGGGTCTCCCCAACCTATGACAGACCCTGGGCATCATATTGCAGGAGTCACCTCCTGCTGTTCCTTTACTGGTCAGTAACAAAGGCCTGGTGAGCCTCCTAGGACTGTGGGACTCCTTTCCATGGCCTGCAGTTCGCCGTAGCTGCCAGTGAGAGGCGCTCAACTCTGCCTGCTCCACCACATTTGGTCTCCAATGAGGAGCACCGGACCGAAGGTCCTCTGTCAGTGGGAGAATATTCGGGGTTCAGTGTAGGCTAGAGGCTTCAGCTTCACTTATCAGTAAATAAGTGAATTTTCTTTCTTCTTTCTTTCTTTCTTTCTTTCTTTCTTTCTTTCTTTCTTTCGTAGGGAAGGTTCTACAGGGTGTTCATGGTCTCACTACTAGATGGGACTCATAGTGATTCTCCTGTTTACCGCCTCCCTAGTGCTGGGATTACAAGCGCATGCCACCACCCCCAGTCTCAATTGCTGTCTCAGCGCGCCCCAGGTGCGGAGACGGCACAGCAGGCCCAGGGATGCAACCCCTGGCCCCTGCGCCTGCTTGCAGGCACTTCAATCCGCTGAGCTATTTGGCTGGCCCGGTAAAGCAATTTTCTAGGGGAATTTCAAGCAGATACTTACAGACATTCACGGAGCCCACACCCTCGCACAGCCTGTGGGGGGAAAAGACTCCATTAGTTCTAGGGCCTGAGCGGGATTCATCGAGACAGAGAGATTTCATCCTGCATCCTGTGTGTAGTTAGGTAGGGATCTGCATTCAATGTGCTCCGTCCTTTGTGGCTCTTTACCCGCAGAAACTAGCCCTTCTGGTTCCCAGCAGTAGGAGACTAGAGGATGGCGCCTATGTGCTGCCTCAGATCTGAGCGCTCACCCCCTCCCAGTGCCGGTGGTGCTCATGAGGATGTGGAACCAGGCTCTCCAGGGTGAGTGACAGGGGCTCAGGGCTGAGTAGAGCTCCGTGCCTGTGGGGCACATTGCCAGTACTGTGCATAAGCCCGTGTGGCGGGTGCAGCCCTACTCAGAAGCTGTGAGGAGAAGTGGCTGTAGAGGTGTAGTACCTGGGTACAGGTCCCAGCTCCTAGCAACTGTGGCTATGGGCCAGGCACCAAACTCTGAGGTTATTTTTGTATCTTTGGATGAGGAAAAGGAACACCAACCTCTTGGATTATGAGGATTATAAAATGGGCATTTAGCTCAGATATGGCATTATTATTACTCTTGAAACCTGTACTAGCCTGGTTGGCACTGCAGGTCACACTGGGGCTCAAGAGATGGATCATGCTGGAAGGTTCAAGGTTCCATGTTCTCCCATCCAAGTACTCACTAGACCCAGTTCTACTAATTCGCTAGGGTCAGGTGCCTTCAGAGCAGTATGGCTCTAGACTAGACCCTCCCCCCCAAATCTCCCAAGGTCCTTCTTAGACTCACCTGTACTCCTCACCCTCCAGGAGGCGTCTGTAGGTGGCGATCTCAATGTCCAGGCCCAGCTTGGAGTTCATTACCTCCTGGTACTCCTTGAGCAGGCAGGCCATGTCCTGCTTGGCCTTCTGCAGGGCTCCCTCCAGCTCAGCCAGCTTGCAGCGGGCATCATTGAGGGCCGCCTCACCATGCTGCTCTGCCTCAGCCACAGCAGCCTCCAGCTTGGCTCGCTACAGGGTGGAGACAAGAAGATCAGATGAGAGAGCAGAGCCTGGCTCACCAAGCAGGTGGAGCTGGGGTGGAAGTGAGGGGATAGAGTCCTAGAGGGAAGGTTGGCTCCGTGCCAGGTAGCTAATAAAGCTGGGAACATGAGGGAGGTGAGGGGCAGGTTTTACGCCATCTCACCCTCATGGTGATTGCACGGCTGCCAAAGAAAGGCTCCATAGTTTTTTGGAAGTCAGTGTGAAGGCTCATCCCAGCTCAACACACCAAGTGTGTTGGTGGGGAGCCGTTGGCCCCTGTTGGGGTCCCTGGTTTCTGACTGTGTGTGGCCTGAGTCTCTGCCCTCCTGTGGGCAAAGGGTCTGTGTTGCAGCCCACCAGTGCTGTGGGTATGTGAGTCTCCCCTGTGACCTGCCTGGCACTTGGCATTTTCTATCTCTGCTGTCAGCCTCTGGATGATGCGGTTCAGCTCGTTGATCTCCTCTTTGGTGCGGCGCAGGGTTTCCCCATGTCGGATCACCGTGGCCTTCATCTCTTCACACTGTAGAAAGTAGAGAAGCTTATGAGGCTTGGGGATAGGACACCCCACTCCTTGGAACACCTCCAGTGACTTGGAGGAGCCAGTTGTGTAGGGCTCTGCTTGTGGAACCACACGTGGTGACCCTGCTCTGTTATGTGGCCCTGAGAGCTGTTAGCCATTTTCTTATCATCCCTAGGGTAAAAGAATCCTTTTCTAAGGGAATGGGTGTATTGAAAAGGAATGAGGAAAGAGATATATCTGTGTATGTATGCAGGGTGGTTTGAACAACTGTACTGTGGATTTATGCTAGTCTATGGAAAAGAAATTTAAAAAAATGTATTTGGTTGTTACAGTGTCTCACTATGCAGCTCAGACTCATAGTGATCCTTCTGTTTTCAGCATCCTCAATGCTGGGATTACAGGTGTCTGCCACTATGCCTGGACTCTGTGGTCGGTTCAGCCTGTGCTGGGGGCAAGGCTGGTGAGGCATGTGGTACCAGGGATCAAACTGCAGTTCTTGCACTTGCCTAAGCAGGTGCTTTAGTCTGCTGAGCTATCTCACTGGCCCCTAGAAAGGAGAATTTAATGCTTAATTTGTTTTGTCTCTTTTGTTCAATTTTTTGACCTTTTTCTTTTCTTAATTTCTTATAAATTTTTTTCTTTTTTCTTTCTTCTTCCAATTTTACATGCATATATCTGGTAATATGAATAAACTAGTTTGAAGACATCACTGTATTACAATAAATACTATGAAATTTACATTATTTTGTTAAGTGAAATTCTATATCACTTGTAATTTTTATTTTAATACTATTTTGTACTGTCTTTAAAAAAATAATAAATTTTTTTTAAAAAAGGATTCTTTTCTAATAGACCCTTCCCATCCCTCCCACTGCCACTTTTGAAAGGCAGTTTCCCAAGCCACTGACCTTGGTGCGGTACCAGGACTCAGCCTCGGCCCGGGTGCGGCTGGCCACGTCATCATACTGAGCCTTGATCTCGGCCACGACACAGTCCATGTTCAGGTCCCGGCTGTTGTCCATCTTGACGATCACTGAGGTGTCGGAGATGTGGGCTTGAAGAACACGGATCTCCTGTGGGGCCAGTGGCAGTGCATGTGAGTCTGGTGTCTAATCAGGACTATGTGCCCCATCTCTGGTGACATGTTCAGTCCCTGGGGGCCACTGGCCAGGCATGCCACATGAGTCCTGCCTCCACTATCTTCATTCATGCACAGGCCTGCTACAAAACAATGGAGCTCTAGAGGGGACAGACCTCGTCTGGGGACAGCTTCTGCTATAACACATAGACAAAGTGAAACCCACAGTGTACAAAAGGCCTGACTCAAAGGCACCCAGGAGGGTGGCTGGGTTTGAACATCAGGCAGGGTGACTGGTTCACTGGTTAAGCCCCACCCTATGTGGGACCCACTCCTGGCCAAAGATGTACACTTCTGTATCCATCTATACGCCAGGATTCACAGAGACCAGTGCATAGATGTTCCTTCTAGCCCACAGAGCTGCTCACAGACACACAGTGGATAAGCACACATGATATCCATGGTTCTCACACATGTAAACACACATGCTATGTTTGGGCACATGCAACATGCCCTCTACTACTGGCCTTGTCACATGTGTGTGTGCTCTTGTGCTCTTCTCTTGTATGCCACACCCTGGCAACCACAGTACACACAGGCACTCTGCCCCCCTCCCATGCCTTTCTGGTTGATGGTGCCTCTCACCTCTTCATAGAGGCGCTTCAGGAAGCTTGACTCCTCCACTAATGCCTCCACATTGGCCTCCAGGTCTGATTTCCGCAGGTAGGCACAGTCCACATCCTGGGGTGCAGCAAGGAAGAGGAGCACGCACAGGGGAGGAGGAGGAGGAGGGTGCTTGGGTCAGCATGGTGACAGTGCCCTAGGCCAAGGTGGGTCCCTTCCCTCCCTGCCCTGTGACCAGCCCCCTCACCTTCTTTAGAACCACAAACTCGTTTTCTGCTGTGGCTCGCAGAGCTACCTCCTCTTCATACCTGGTGTGGGAGAGAGAAAGTTAGAGTGGAGAGGGTGGACCTTAAACACCACAACCCCTGGTTGAGTCCTAAGGGTGGGGAAAGGTATAACCTTCTCCAGATATCACTTTGATTTTCTCCATAATCTAGTTGTGTACCATTCACAGGCTGGCCCTTCTCTCAGCCATGATCTGCACCTCCCAGCCTTTCTGAACTGGGGAGATAAGGAGTATATACCCCAGTTTACAGGTCTGGCACCATCAGTGCACCCTAGAGCCCAGGAGAGAGTGTGCCACAGGTGGGCAGGCACAGAACTGCTTGCCAAGTGAGCAAAGGGTAGGGGATGTGCATAGACAGGGCTCTGCTGCGTTCCTTTCCTCACTCCCTTGAGCACTATTTCCAGGGTTGGCAGGGCCTCTGGGGGCTCTACAGGAGCCCAGGAATCTGGGGAGACTAAGGACTTCACCGCCGCCACCTGGGCTGGAAGGCTCACTCACTTCTTCTTGAAGCCCTCCAGCACCTCCTGCACATGGTTGAGTTCCGAGGCCAACCTCCCACCGTCGGCCTCCACACACTCGGCCTCCCGCCTCAGAGTCTGGATGTAGCCCTCGAACAGCGGCTCCAGGTTGCTCTGGCAGCACTCGCGGTTCTGGTAGAACTGCCACTTGGTCTCCAGCAGCTTGTTCTGCTGCTCCAGGAAGCGCACCTGTATGTGGAGGGAGGAGGAAAGACTCAGTGGGAAGTCTGGGGAGGGGTCTGGTTTTTGGATGGTAGCTGAACAGGGTTGAGCCATAGGGTTGGGAGTTTAAGGTCCAAGGGACCCCATTCCTAGCATCCAGAGAGGCAGTGGTAGGTGTGAGGGAAGTGACTAGGCTGAATTTAAAGCCAAAGGTCTAATCCCACTTTCAGTTCTGCCACTTGAAGTAGGCAAATTTGGTACTAGGTTTTCTAAAATGGGGATAATGGTGATAGAATTGTTGAGAAGACTTTGCCAGTTAATACACGTAAAGTGCCCGGAACAGCACTGATGTGTGGTCAATCAATTTAACTACCGTAATAACCAGGTGCGTTTCATTTATTCATTTATGCAACAAACTCTTACTGAATATTCGTATACATCTATGTCTATGTTTCCATCCTGGACATCTTCCTATAGATTTCAGAGACAACAATTCTGTGAAGGGGTGGATATCACTTCTCCCACATTAGGATGGGGGCCCTGAGACTGCTGAGGTGTGAAGGCCCAGCTCATGGTAAGTGATGGAGTGAGGATTCCATGTCCCTGGAGTGTCTGTCCAGTCCTCACATGCCCTTGCTACTGATGCACAGCTCGTGTAAACTTAGCTCTGATTCACTATTTGAAAAATGGAGTAATAACTCCTACCCCATGGAGTCATTCTGAGGATTAACTAAGATCACTAAGAAAAATGTGACAACAGGATGGTCACATGCTCAGTAAGCAGACTCCCGCTCCAGCAAGGCTAGTCCTTCTCCTTTTCCCAGACCTCACTGGGAAGTAGCCTCATCCAGCTGTGCGCCACCTCCCTGGCCTCATCCCACCCCTCCATCCACAACAAGGCTTCCAGGCCAGGCTTAATTACCATACTCTTCACCCACTCCAGTCTTGGGAAAATAATAACAGCCTGTCATTTAATGAGAGCTGTTGTTTGCCAGCCCTTTCCATGCACAAGCTCATTAACCCTGACCACACACTAGTTGAGGCGAGGCTTGCTGTCCAGAGGGATAGGTTTCCTGGGGTCTCCCTGCTGAGTGCTCGGCAAGGACTCGGGGAGCAGAGTGCCCAGAGCCCTTGCTGCCAACTTCTCCTGCTGCCTGGACCATGATCCACCTTTTGTTCTGTTATCTTCTACTCTTCCTACACCCAGGGCCCAGTCCAGTTTCCTGGGGACAGCTCTGTCGCTCTGTGCCATCTTGTCTGCTGAAACACATGCATCCTTTAGGGTACAGACTCGGTTTCTAGGCCAGGCTTGGATCGCCATAAACTTAGCTGAAGTGAAGTGATGACAGTCATCTTACTAGCCGTACTGGTCCGCATTTCGCCCCTCTGCTACCTCAGAACAGGCAGCCAGCCAGCCTGTCTCTCCAGCAGACCCGGCCTTCTCTAGGGCAGGTGGGTTTGAGGTCTTCTCTGGACCATTTCCGGTATCACTGACCTTGTCGATGAAGGCAGCGAACCTGCTGTTGAGGCACTTGATCTGCTCCTTCTCCTCGTGCTTGACGCACTGCGCGTTGGGGTCGATCTCCAGGTTGAGGGGTGTGAGGAGGCTCTCGTTGATGGACACGCTGGTGATGCAGGGCGGGCTGGGGCCGCACACGCCTCCGGAGCGGTAGCCAAAGCTGCGGCCAAAGGAGCCAGAGCGGAAGGCCCCAACAGCCATACGGGGCCCACAGGAGCCAGGGTTACAGAGGCTGCGGCTGCTGAAGCCCGTCAGCCCCCTGTAGCAGGACACCCCTCGGTAGGGGGCAGCGGTGATGCAGCAACGGTTGCCGGTTCTGGGGGCCACTGCTGAGCAGGAGCTGAAGTTTCGGGAGACACCGCATCCTGAGCTAATTCTGTAGGAGCGGCAGGACATCCTGTGGGTCTGAGCAGAGTCTGAGCAGTTGGGAAGGTTGGTGTGGGCTGCTGAGTGCGAGGCTTAGGTTTCTCCTGGTCTCTCTGATCCTCCTGGGTCCTTTTATTGGTGAGGAGAGCTGGGGTTGGCTGCATAAAAGGAGTGAAAAGGCATTTTATGTTGTTTATTGGCTTGGGGAACTTGCCAGCAACTCCCAAAGACTCGTCTTAAAGGTGAGCTCAGCAGTGAGTTGGGCTCCGTAAAAGTATTGAAGATGTTATTAGGGACATTGTATGTTTGCACTTTTCATCTTCAAAGCTCGTTTACACACATTAAGTAATTAATTTTCTTGCAGTCTCTCTGTGAGATGGCCCCAACCCACACTTGGAGATGGATTTGAACTCCACAACAGTCCGGGGGTGGGTGGATTTGGGATACTGGTGGAGGCTGTTGTCTCATGGGAGAGGTTCTGGGGTCCTAGGTTGGGTGGACCTGGAAAATTATTGCTTCTATGCACCCAGTTCCTTGCAGGACACAGTTCTGTGTGTTGCTATCTCGAGGTGACAGACCAATGTATCTGTAGGTATCCAGGCAGTGTGGACTGAAAGATGGTTCAGAGGGACCTTGGGATCATGCTGTTTCATGGTCATTTGGAACTTTCTGGAGCTCAGCCCAGAGGGCGCTGCTCTGTTTCTTACCCCTGGAAAGAACAAACCACTCACCTTTCAATGGCCACAGTAAATGACCACTAGTGGGAATGAGGAGACTTCCTTTCAATCGCTTTCTTTCATGGAGAATCCCACTTCCCACTTGCTCTAGGTACCTTCCCTTTGTTCTTTAGGAAAAAATAGGACCTGTGAGTCTCCCCTTCCTTCAAGACCCCAGTAGAGCAGAAGTTAGTGTGCTCTTCCTGCCAGCCCAGAACTGTCACCTTTGAGGAATGTCTAGAGACTGCTCTGCCTGAGGTGGGGGTAGGATGTGGCCCATTCTTGCTGAGGAAGCTATAATATCTGGCTCTGGAGGCCTTGGCTTTTTGATGTCTCTGCTTCCTTGTGTGTCCTCGGACCACTTGTTAAGGTAATAAATGCTGTTCTTTTTTTTTTTTTTTTTATTGAGCACAAACCATGAGGATGTGGTCTCTTCCTCCAGGAATGTCAGCTAGGCACTTGCAGTGTTAGAAACTTAGGGAAAAGGAACTAATGATTTTCCTCAGGTGGTGATTTCTCCTTCAGGGAGGCTTCCAGTACCAAAATCTGTCACTGGCATTCTTGTGAGTGCTGTGAAGGGGCCAGGCATTCATCATGTCCTGGGTCTGACCTCATCTCCATGGCTGGCCAACCTCTGGTTTTCAGCTAAGATCAGGCCAATCAAGTTCTGATTCTGGTCACATGAAAGAAAGTGACTGAAAGGAAGTCTCCTCATTCCCACAAGTGGTCATTACTGTGGCCACTGAAAGGTGAGTGGTTTGTACTTTCCAGGGGTAAGAAACAGAGCAGCGCCCTCTGGGCTGAGCTCCAGAAAGTTCCAAATGACAATGAAAGAGCATGATCCCAAGGCCCCTCTGAACCACCTTTCAGTCCACACTGCTTGGATACCTATAGATGCATTGATCTATCACCTCGAGATAGCGACACACATGGGACTGTGTCCTGCAAGGAGCTGGGTGCATAGAAGCATCTCTTATCTGTTCTTCAGGGATGGTAGGGAGTCTGTGGGCAGCAGCTGCTGGGGATGGTGGGGATGGGCAGGAGGCCTCACTAGCTGACCTTAGACAACATTCATGGGGGTTTTATCCATGGGGAAGCCGCTGGAGTTAGCCCCTGGGCAATGGAGGCGAAGTTGGAAGACCTTGTTCAAGTGCCAGCTTGAACCTTTCTAGCTTTCTTGAGGATTTCTTTGAGCCTTCCTTTTCTTTTTTAATCTATAAAGTAGGAACCATTCTTAATCTTTCAGGCTTGTTGGGGAGGCTTAAGAGGTTAATACAAGAGAAGGGGCTTTGGAGCCGTGGTACTTGGTATAAGGAAAGATCTGCTGATTCCTGTCAGAAACATCCCTATCACCCTGACACCAGCAGAGAGTGGACCTTTCCTGGCTGCTCCTGGACTTCACCTCTTCTGCACATTACAACTCCTTTATTAGTTCAAGTGCTCCTTTAATGTTTACTTTAGCTTGATTTCACTCCTATAAACTTTTTGGGTGGAGTCTGGGATTGGAGAGAGAAAGCTGTATTGGGGGAACATAGGAGTTGATGAGCAGGCCCCACCCCACATGGGTGCCCTGCTTCCTGGGTATGTTCTGGGGCTTTGGACAGTGAGCTTGCTGAGTGACTACTGCGTAGACTGAAGTTGGCGTGCCGAGGGCCAAAGGGATTCAGGAGGAATGCATGCAAAGCATGGTGCCAGTGGAGCCTTGAGCCTCTCTCTGGCCAAGAAGTCAGGCCCCTTTCAGCTTTGCAATGGCAATAGAACCAGAACCATTTCTATCCCTCCTTGTGGGCAGCAGGGAGTGGCACTCTGTTCTAGTGGGACACTCTGTTCCAGCAAAGGTCTGTGTTAGCTGCTTTTTTTTTCCTCCAAAATGTGCCTGTGTGTGTGTGCACATGCACATGTGCATGAGCGCGTACACACACACACACACACACACACACACACACCTCTTCCACTTGGAATGAGGCCTTGGAAAGGAGGTGGGTATTCAGGAGACATGGGGACAATTCTACTGTTTTCAGGTACTGGAGCGGGATGAAAGCCTGGAACAAGAGTGTACCAGCTGTGCGGGTGTGGGGCGAGTGGGGATACACTGGCCCTGCATTTGGTGTATTCTGGGTGCTGGGTAAAGTTGGTCTGGTTGTCCCTGGTAACACTGAACCTGGGGCTGGTTGAGTGCTCAGAATGGCTTTATAGGCTGGGTTCAGGAAAAGAGAAGAGAGAAGCTGACTCTTCTTGGTTGGCCTGGGTTGGTCCAGAGAAAGTAAGAACCTTACAAGCTGGGTCAATCTGGGACAGCTGTCATGGGGAGATGTGGTCCTTACTGTGTGGGTCTATGCTAGGGAGGCTGCTCCTGGCTGGAACTCATATTCCAGGAACTCATATTCCCTGCTTGTATCTGCCCATAACCCAGCTGCTAGAGGGCAGTGTGACTTAGGTCCTTCCCTTGAGGGCCAAGCTCTTTTGGAGGCTGGATGAAAACTCTCATGGGTCTCATTCTCACTCATTGGCCACCTGCACCCTGTTAATTTCCTGCACTGCACCTCTTCTTTACCTCTAAGCCTTCTCCCCAGTCACACCTTTGCCTGGAATGTTCCAGAACAGTCCTTTGTGAACTAGTCTGCAGGAGGCTGTGATTTCTCCTCCCTGGTGTCTCATGAAATACCCTCTTTAGGGCTTCTCTGGTAACTCCCAATGATCTTCCCTGCCCTTTCATCTTAGGTGCTGTCATTCATCACTTTCTGTTCCTGTCCCCTGCTGGTCCTACACCTCTGGAGTCATCACCCACTATCAGAATGTCTACTCAGGAATCCATGACTCTCCATAATTTAAAATGCTCCCAGGAAGCCACTTCCAGGAGTCCCCAAGAGCTAATTGGGAGAGAGTTTCCCTGTTCGCCCTGAGTCCCTGTGACTTCTAAGACTCTCTCTGGGCCTGCTCCACTCCGCAGAGCACAAGCCTGGATTGCTGAGGCTGTACCACGCACCTCAGCCCACACAGGGCTGACCTGTCCTCCTCCTTGGTTTGGTTCATGCTGGAGTGTCTTGGGTTAGCTTGCTTTTCCCACAACAGGCTCACTATCTCCTTCCCTTCTACTTCTGTACTAATCAAAGTCCTTGCTTCCAGAAAGACTTCTTAGGTGTGTCACCAGGTAGGAGAGCTCTGATGCCTCCTTCATTCTCCTCTCTTTGCCCTTAGAGCTGGGTATTGACCTTCCCTGTTTTGTATTTGTATCTGTCTGGGCTTTTTTACAAGCCCTCCTGGCTGGCGTGCTGCCTTGAGTCAAGCCTGAAGGCTTCTCACAAACAAGGCCTATTCCGAGCAGGGCCTTGGTGCCTGCCCACACAGCTGGTTGGAAGTGGGCCTGGCCCTTCAGCTCTCCTGGCCACACTTTCATTGTGCAGCCAGATCTACACCATCTGCCCACGCTGGGCCTCGGCTCGTCATGAGACTTCTGAGCTGCATGACCTCTTGGTTTTTATAAGCTGGGGTATGATTCAGAGACCTTACGTGGGAGGAATGAAGGTTGGACAGTAGGGGCAACAGGATGAACAACTGTCCCCTCCTCAGGCACCCAAGCTGCTCCCTGGCCTGCCCCACCTTTCTTCTTGCAGCTACCTTACTAAGAACCAGGAAACTGCACAGCTTCGGAACCCTGTCCACCCAGTGGCCTGTGAGCCGTTTCCCTGATGGCTTTGCTGTTCCCATGGCTACTGTGGGCCAGAGTAGATCAACACAGAGCCTCTCACTTCAGATTAGACTGCATTCATGGTTTTGAAAATATTCTTGTATTTTTAGTAGTAGAACCATTTCCCTTAGGAACAAAACAACTATGTAAAGCCATAAAATTGTTTGGATAACCACGGAGGATTGGTTCTAGTTCCCCCTAGGATACCAAAATCCAAATATGCTCTAGTCCCTAGTATGCAATGGCATAATATTTGCATATACTTTACACAGTCCTCTGTATATTTTAAGTCACCTCTAGATTATTTATAATACCTGGTATAATCTTAGTGTTATAGTTGGTACACTGTATTGGTCAGAGGCTAACAACAAGGAAAAAAAATCTGTAATGCATAGTACAGACACAATTTGTCCTCCACTGCCTTTGGTTGAATCTATGGGTGTGAAGTTGTGGGTGCTGAAGGTGACTGTCTGTTTATGTCTGTACTGGTACATAGAATAGGTCAGACTGTCACACTGATCTCTTGCGGCTTGCCCCAGGCCTGTGTACCACATTCCTAATGCAGAAAGTGACCTGGTAACACCTGAAGTTGGGTTCCTGCAGTACCTCAGTGACTCCTCACTTCATCAGGAGCTCCAAGGCCAGGGCGCGAGGTCTTGCCCTGCTT